GGCAGCAGTTATTTTACTTCCCAATTTATTGAGATACTCTTCAGTCTGGGACAAAAATGATGACAGAACAGCATATCTCTCTGCAGCATCGCCAGGAACACTAGTCTGCTGCTCAAGCAACATTTCCCTGTACCTTTCAACATCATTGTTCTTCAAGGCCTCCATTCTTTTGTTTCGATCATCATCTTTCCTCTTTGAGAACTCACGCAACATTCTCTCATGATATTTGGCAACTCCCCTATTGCGGGCAGTCCGTGCATCACGTATGGCCCAGTGAGCTTCCAAGAGTTTCTTACGCCACTGAAAGATGGATTTTAATTGCTTCTCTCTCATAGCTTTCTGAGTAGCCTGGACTTGTCTTGCCAGCTCCATACGTTGACGCTCACAAAGGCGGACAAATTTTCGGTATGGCCTGTCAGGCATTGCCATTATCTCCTGTTGTTGCTGATCGACCTCGTCCCTCAAGCGTGCCTGCAGATCCATAAGTCGAAGCTTTTTTTCTTCAATTTGCAAACGCACAACAAGATCTGGCCTAATCCTTTTCCTCTCTAAATTTACTGCCAGTAAGCCACTAATTTTCTTCAAATTTTCAGATCTCTTCTTGTTAAGGACTTCCATGCCTTCCTCAAAAAGAAGATCTTTGACATCATATGCCAGTACTAGATTACTGCCATTATTATGAATTGCTGAACCATAAGAGTCATGTTTCCTAGTGAAGAATGGAAAATCAAACAGCGGCCCATGATACTTTCTGGCAGAACCAAGATCTTTTGCCTGGGGGGCAGAGTTTGCTTGCACAGGTGTCTTAGCAAGCACTGGTTCAGGTATGGCAACTTGGGGCACAGCAGTTTTTCCCCTATCTAAAGAAGAATCACTTTTGGCTGGGGCTTTTGGAAGACCCCGTCCCACTTCTTGGTCTGACTTAGAAGAAAACATAGCAGTTTGCTGCTCTTCTTTTACAGCAGGCACCACTGCCGTAGGTTCCTTCACCACAGCTGGAACACCTTGAACATGAGCCATTGATACTGATGCTTTGTCATCTCTTGCATAAATTTCCTCTTTAGAAATATTCTGCCCATTCATAGACGGCCCAGCTTGTGAATCCTTCTCCTTGTTCTCTGTCTGCCTTGCTTGATCTTCTATAATCTTTCCCATGTTCATATTCTGAATACTACCTCCTGAAGAAGGAACTTGTTGCTGCAGCTGCAACTCAAGGGGTGGTGGAGCAATGGCTCGAAGAAGCTCCTGTGGGAGAGTACCTTCTCCTTTCTGTTAATAAGCAGAAGTAAATAATAGAGCCCTCTATTAGAACATATTGAATAAATTTCGTGAGATTTTAAGAAACAAAAGCAACAAAATACAGCATGTGCATGTGAACTGGAAAAGTGAGGTGAAGGAAAAGGAGGGAGAGGTATTTGCATGCCTTCAACCGCCTGAATGCTAGTATTTGTGCTTTAAGAACATGAAGTTGCTGTTTGGTGAAGCCCACATGTGGCTGTGCCACTTTGGTAGCCGGCGCCCCTTGTGAAGGTAAGTTGCTAACACCGCCTCCATCATTAGAAGGTACTGTAGACTGTGGAGATTGACTTGAATGTTTGAGGTACTGCATCTGCAATGTCTCTGCTCCACCTGATGAATTTTTTGCTGGAAGAGATGGATCAACACCCTGGCTAATGTTTGCAGAGGATTGTGGCGGATGCATGGGAGGCATTCCGTTTCCCATAAGAATGGGCTGCCTGGAAGATAACTGGTTCTCTTTGCCATGAACTGCATACTGCTGCATTACACTGCTGTTGGCATTGTTAACCACCACAGCACTGGAAGTTGAGGCAAAAGGACCAGAAGGAACTGTCTGTCTGGTTTTCGCAGAACCAGACTGGCCGGAGACGTCACTTGATAAATTGGCTTGGGGAGAACTCCCACTTGGAACTGATGTAGAAGTAACCTGCGGCTTTGACACTGGCATGGGTGACAACTGAGCAGCCACACTGCTTTCATTTGTTTTTTGCTGTGCGGCCATCCTAGACTGCATAAGGGGAATGAGCTGCGCCATCAAGTTTGCATTTGCAGGTTGGGACAGATCAATATTGCGCTCCAATGCCCAAGCTTGCAATTGTGCAGCCATAGCAAGTTGGTTATTCCCCATGTTCTGAATGGTTTGCTGGGACTGTGGTGCCTGCATAGGCCTTATGACATTTCCGGACATCAGTTGACCAATAGCTGTTGGTTGAGATGATGAATTAGGCTCATTTCTCTGGTCAGATGCTGACTGTGGTCCTTGCTCCATCTGCTTTTCATTGCGACCAAACTGTTCAGATGAGCTCTTGGAGGATGATGCCTGAGCCTGATTACCTGCCTGAATGGACATGAGTTCCTGCATTTTTGAATTTCCGATCCGCATATCTTGCTCTTTACCAGATGAAGAACCCAACATTGCCATCTTAGCTTGCAGCTGTGCAGCAAGTGACTTTTGTTGAGCAGCCTGCAAAGCAAACTGATAATAAGTTTGGTGAACAGAATTCGACATCTGTTGCTCACCCTGACTTCTGTTCTGACCCTCCTGGGCAGAACCATGCTGTTGAGCTAAATCAAAATTTTTCCTAGACTGTTGAGGCATTTGCATGGAGCCTGGAGACGAAGCAAAATTGCTGCCTACAATCAAGCCTTGAAGACCACTCGCAACTTGATATGCTAATATGGCTTCATTTCCTTCCGGTTTTCTAAGCAGTTGTTGTTGTAATGACTGCGTGAAAAAGAAACAACAAATACAAACATTCATACATTAATCCATCACTAACTACAGTTGACAGAATATCACAAGTTCACAACCAAAAATGGAAAACTTAAACAACCCCAAATTTACCCACAACCCAATTCAATCAAGGCTTCAATTAAATAACCCAACTGCACCCTGTATACCCTTACCTGCCTAGACCCTATCTGCTGCTGCGGCTGCTGTTGTTGCTGCTGCTGTATCGAATCAAAGCCCAAGTGTGGCGTGGACACTGCCGAAGAGGAGGAAGACGGTGACGCCGCCGAGGATGTGGAAGCAGCCCGCCCCGCCGGTCCCACTCCGGGATTCCGGCTGAGCCCAGCTCCGCCTCCCCCACCCGATTGCATAAAAAAAAAAAAAAAAAAACCTTCCCCAATACCAATAAAACACAGAAAATTCAAATTGATTACACCAACAATTCAAAAGCCCCCACACAAAAAGAAAACAAAAAAACCGAATCCCTCCAAAATGCCGTCAAAACCCCACTTTTACCCTCCGATCCCAGCTTCCAAAAAATATATAAATACCGAAACAGAAGCAGCAGCAATACTTGGAAGTGGCCTTTTCTTTCTCTTTCTAAGATTGTAATGTGGGGGTGGGGAGATTTTCTCTCTCTAAAAAAAAGGGAACGAATTTCGCGGGACAAAAGAAAATGTTAGATCTCTGTGAGAAAGCAAACTTGATGGACAGGAATCAGTGATTTCCCTCCCCCCAACTACTACTCCTTAATCTCACTGATTTTCCACCTGATTTTGGAATTTTTGGGATTTGGGTCAAACCCTAGGTGGATTTTATGTTTGCTTTAATTTTTTTTTTCTAATATCTCCGGTAATTTTGGGTTTTTTTATTTTTTTTATTTTCTGGTTTCTTTTTTCTTCTTCTGTGATTTTATTTATGCTATGTATGCTTTGGAGCGTAGCCTTAAGGTGGGGTCCTGTGGAAAAGGTTAGAATTTTACTGGAAAGGGGTGGCGTGCGAATTTGGGCCTGCATTTATTCATATTTATGCTAAAGTCCCGACCCAGTACCCAGAAAATCTCTTTACTTCGTCAAGATGCTTGTTGGATGCATTTAACGAATTAAATAATTTAATGATTTTTTTTATTAAATGTAAAAATTTTTAAATTTAAATTATATAATATATAAGTGAAATGAAATAAAAAAAAGATAAACGTATTTCATTTTGTAACCAAAATAATTAAAAAAAAAAGATAGTTGTTCAGGGAGAATAAGATTTTTGAGATTAATAGTTTTATTTTATATTTTAAATGTTTGAATTTAATTAATTAAGAATTCAAATTTTACTAATAATTTTAATCAAATGTATGTTCATAAACAACTTCATCAAAATTTCATTTATTCTTTCATTCTCTAGTCCCTGCACAATTCATCACTATAGCACCAAACAGATCAATCAAGGAAACACCAAGCATATACACAAAAGCTTGCTTAAACTTAACTCCTTGAGCATTCCCTCTTCTTTACGCGTATTAATGGCATTTCAAATCCATTTTCTCATGGCTTTTACAGGGGATTCAAACGGGAGGAAGCTTTAAATATCCATTTTCTCACAGCTTTAACAGATAACACAAGCATTTGGATTCTCTTCCATGCTTTGAACATAGTAGTATGTGGTCAAGTGAGGATTGTATGCTTTATATGCCTTCACAAGCTCCAAAATTGGGTCTGGTGGTGGTGGTTTCTTCTCCTATTTCCCATCTTCCTTCTTGGGTTCTTCCTTCTTTGCTTCCTCCTTCTTTGGCTCTTCTTTCTTTGCTTCCTCCTCCTTCTTGGGTTCTTCTTTCTTTCCCTCTTCTTTCTTGGCCTCTTCCTTCTTTGGCTCCTCCTTCTTCTCTGGCTCCTTTACCGGTCCAACTAAGACTATATCAGTTGGCCAATATTTGTAGTTCCAACCACCATCAGTAGCTTTGCTTTCATGCCTTTCATAAAATGAAGAAAAGGAAGTAAACCTGAGAACATGTATGTTGTTTACAAAATCCCAATTATTATTGTGATGTATTCCAAGTTTCGCATTCATACCCTACCTTGAACAAAAATCACTTACTCTGAGAACAAAAATGTCAATTGAGGTAGTTCAATATCAAATCAAAGCCGATAAAAGCACAATATCAAACCCCATAGATCACAATATCAACGAGGAGACACCCTGGTGTTGAAGCCTCGATAGAGAAAGAACACTTGTACACCCCATCTGATCTTGATCTCCACTGAAAAGTAAGTCTGCCATCATGTTCTTCATTACCCTTCTTACATGCCGTTGCAAAATTAAGGAATTTAAACGGATTATAAACTGCGGTCAATCACTCGCCAGGTGCAAATCCTGTAAACTGCAGAGCACCACGCTAGAAACAAAAACACACACACACACACAAAAGAAAAGAAAAGAAAAGAAAAGAAGATATGAGAAGTGTCAACAGCAGAAGAATCATTAAACATAGTAATATGATTATTGGACTGCTTACCACTAAACTCAAATCCTTGAAATCAATCTTAATTATATAGTGATGTGATTATTGAACTTACTATTTCTCTTTGATCTTGTCCTGGAACTCTCAGGACAATCATTCTCCTCCTGTCATCAATCCTTGAAGCAATAATTTCCAAAACTTGTCCAACAACTGTTGAAAGAAAAGAGAAATGAAAAGTAAAGACAGATATTAATTAGTCAAAGACATGTCAACTATAGAAGTGAAAACTGATAAAACCCACTTGCAAAAGAAACTGGAGAAATGAAAAAGAAGAAGAAGAAACTCACCTTTCTCTAGGGATGATGTGAGAGATATAAGTCATCCATATAAACGCTTAGTTCGCAAAGAAACTTGATATGCATAAGAGGGTTCTGGGTATGGGATAGCAGGTACTATTTTGGAAGGAATAAACAATGAAACGCATTCTTCCTTGTCAACTTCCTCAACTAACCACCCCTCTGCAGTGCAAGAACAACCCAACCAAGAAAAATAGCTTAAAACCAACTAAGAGAAAGACTGATGTGATCTTTCAAATGAATTCAACTCAAAGAATCTTCTACCTTTTGCACTAGTGAGTATGAAATTGATGAACAGAGGCAGGTTTCTTCTACGATAGCGCTGCAACTGAGCCAACATCTTGTTGAGGTTGATATCTTTTCTTGAAACAACACTCTTGTTAGGGGTTGGGCTCGGAAGCCTTGGGCCCTTGGGCCTATTGTGTATTTTTTCCCCTCGTATCAGCTCAAGTGGTACCAGGGTCGCTCACGAAATCCTCTTAATCAAGAGGAGTCCTACGGGGCCAAGAGTTGAAACCTTGGGGAGGCGTCCCCTATGGGGGGAACAAATAGGCAATAGGCCCAAGGGCCCAAGGCTTCCAAGCCCAACCCCTAACAAAAAGGCCCACCTTTTTGCCAAGGGTATCCCGTGGGGCCGTTCTTAGGCTTGACGTATTGTTTGTTTGTCCTTCCGTAGAAGGGGCCTTTCTAGGGTTTGAACTCGCGGCCTCCCTTAAGAGACCTTGAACAAGCACCCTGGTACAACTTGAACTGAGTTTAAGCCCTGGGAAGGCATCCCTTACGGGGGAACAAACACGCAATAAGCCCAAGGGCCCAAGGCTTCCAAGCCCAACCCCTAACAAAAAGCAGCTCAACCGGTGCTAGGGTGCTCATTCAAGGTTTCTTAAGGGAGGTCGCGAATTCAAACCTTGGGAAGGCCCCTCATACGGAAGGACAAACAAACAATATGTCAAGTCTAAGAACGGTCCCATGGGGTACCCTTGGCAAAAAGGCAGGCCTTTTTGTTAGGGGTTGGGCTCGGAAGCCTTGGGCCTATTGCGTATTTGTTCCCTATAGGAGACGCCTCCCCAAGGTTTGAACTCGTGGTCTTCCTTAAGAGGCCTTAAACGAGCACCTTGGTACCACTTGAGCTCCTCTTAAAGGAGGCCGCAATTTCAAACCCTAGGAAGGCCCCTCCTACGGGAGGACAAACAAACAATATGTCAAGCCTAGGAACGGCCCCACAAGGTATCCTTGGCAAAAAGGCGGGCCTTTTTGTTAGGGGTTGGGCTTGGAAGCCTTGGGCCCTTAGGCTTATTGTGTATTTGTTCCCCCGTAGGGGATGCCTCCTCAGGGTTTGAACTCGCGAAGCTCAAGTGGTACTAGTGTGCTCGTTCAAGGTCTCTTAAGGGAGGTCGCGAGTTCAAACCCTAGGAAGGCCCCTCCTACAGAAGGACAAACAAACAATACGTTAAGCCCAGGAACAGCCCCACGAGGTACCCTGGCAAAAAGGTAGGCCTTTTTGTTAAGGGTTGGGCTTGGAAGCCTTGGGCCTATTGCGTATATGTTCCCCCCGTAGGGGACGCCTCCCCAGGGTTTGAACTCTTGGCCCTATAGGACTCCTCTTGATTAAGAGGATTTCGTGAGTGACCCTGGTACCACTTGAGTTGATCGGGAGGCATCCCCTATGAGGGGAACAAATACACAATAAGCCCAAGGGCCTAAGGCTTCCGAGCCCAACCCCTAAGAACTCTAATTTCTATGATGATGGGCCATGAAGAAACAACTTTCTGCATATTGTGAAAAGCACAGAGAAGCTATCATAGCTTTTCCAAGAAACAAGTCAAGTCGAAGGCAATATTAGGTGAAATGAAAACGAATCATCGGTTCTTCATCGGAATCAAGAGACGTCAAACGTTCCATCACTTCCATCAGGGCTTGGGCAATTGCAGCATCTCCACCTCGTAACAATAAAGATGAAGTGCATGCCATTTCTTGATGATTGACAGGGATGGTTCTTGATCGTTGATAGGAAACAGAGAATGAGGACTTTGTGTTTTCCTGCTTTTAATGGTTACTTTTGAACTTCGGATTTGGGCTGAATTATATTTCGACTGTTTTCTCGACCTGCCTATTGGCCCAACTAACTTGAGCTTTGTTATTTTGAGCTCTCAGATTTTTTTTTTTTATTTCAATCTTTTTTCTTTTTT